CCTATTTTAAGTCATGAGAAAGTAATTTAGGTAAAATCGGTGAATTAAAAAAGCCGCAGTTGATTTAGTATTTGAAATTGGACTGCAGAATGGGATTTTCAATGTTTACAATTCTAAGATCCATATTTCTTGATCTGCCACTCTTGAGTCCTTCTCTATATTCTTTACCACGGGGTGTGCGATAGACTTACCTCCACGTGGTGCACCCTGGGCAACGTATAATCATACGACAAAACAGTCTATTAACCGGCAGTTGACTTCTGACTTCAAACTACCATCACCCCACTCTACGTCATATTCGACTTCTTTCACAGTACTCAGCTCACCTTTTTCTTACATTTCTGTCTGTCTCTTTTACATCTTTGAAACACTTTTCTGTTCCCCCCCCCCCTTTCGACTTTTTCAATTTGATGTTCGTCCTCCTCTCTATGAAGCCTGAAGTCAACTAAAGGGTTAATGATAACTATCAAAACGCCTGCCATTTGATATAAATAAATATTCTTTACCCCTATATCCAATCTCTGTTGACAGTTGATTAATTAGCATGGTAGGTTTCACCAAGTGAAATCATATTTTCTCCTAACTTCCTGAAAAGCAGGGTAAACTTATGTTGTCTTAACATAGTGCTTTCTGCTTACCTCTTGTTCGAGTGAAAACAATTGGATTAGCCTTGCCTGCATTTTGTGTCATTGCTTTCGCTAGTGTAACATTTGAAAAAAGGCAGAATTAGCAAGATCAATTTCCTCGTGTCCATCATAATCAGCACCCACCAGTGGCTGTCACTTTGAAAGAGAAATGAACCTTGGTTAAGCTTGAACGTAGTTGCACTGACCGAGCGACCTTGAAGGCTTAAACCTTAAAACGTAGATGGCGAGGTATGAGGGAAGGCTTGGGTACTGCAGCCTTCTTTATGGTCTTTTGTGTGACATATTTTTACGTACATTGAGTGAACAAACTGTGCTTTCATACTTGCCAACCTAGAAGTAAGGACATGGCGATAAAGAGGTTTATTGACCAGACATACGGGATGTTGTGACTTGTTTTTTGCTTTGATCTCTGTTATTATGTAGTGAGGTAGTGGCGCAATGCCTAAGCTTGACAGATTTTAATAGCACCCATACTTCGAACTTCGAGGAAATTCAGTTATCATTAGCCTAGATTTAGCCGAGGAATGGAATATTATTGCTTCAAGTGAAGACTTCTATCCCATTCAAATCAGAACCCGCATGAAGGCAGCGATTGATAAGGAAATAATCAATCGCATTGACGGATTCAGTGCACTTCATGAAGAATTATTTTGTCGTAGCATACAAGATTACCACGGAATTTTTCCAAATTTCATGACACAAGAGATCAATATACTAAATGCACAATTAAGTCCCCGAATGTAAAGAAATTATAAAGCAGCAGAGAAGCAAAGAGGGGTGGAGCGGTTCGGATGTACGTTGAGCAGGAACAGCATTAATATCATCTATCAATTGGCCAAAGTCTACCACTCCCACCACCATCGGCAGTTTGCCTATCGGAGAGTAGGAGTACTTATTAGATCCTAGGCAGCGAGTTTAGGACAATAATGTGGACACTCTATTGTTTTCCATGTTATTAGTCAATTTGCCTAATCTTGACGCTCTGAATTTTACTAGTTCAAGTAATGTAATGACGTACCCCATTGCTCACCTAATAACCCATGGGGTCAAAGGAAAGAAATATTCAACAAGCGTTCTGTTTGTAGTCTATCTTTACTTTAGGGGGGTGTAATAGACTTACCTCCACGTGGTGCACCCTGGGCAACGTACACTCATACGGCAAAAAAGTCTATTACCTGGCAGTTGACTTCTCACTTCAAACTGCCATGACCCCACTGTATGTCATATTCGACTACTTTCACAGTACTCACCTCACCCTTTTTCCACCTTATCTACCTTTGTCTTTGAAGCACTCTTCTGTCCCCCCCCCCGCCCTCTCGATTTTTTCACTTTGATGTTCCTCCCCTCTGTGAAGCCTGAAGTCAACCAAAGGGCCCCCTATTCAAAGATGAGCATAACGATAACGTCAAACATCAAGTAAGATAATTCACCTTGGAAAATTCCATAACCGGAAACTTGTAGGCTCAATGTCTAGCGCGATGCTATAATTACCACCAGAGGGCAGAAGTACAAAATGGCAAGGAAATCATGTGAACGAACGGACACTAGTCACTCACAGTGGCGTAGAAGGCCTCCCGTTGTGGTCGGCCAATGTCCACCCACCTCAACCACACTGCAGAGAGCATATCGACTGACCGAGATTTTATTGCCACATCATTAATCGTCGTGACCACCAATGCTTATCAAACTCCCCCTACCCCGGGTAGTAATAATCTTCACTCGGCTACCATGGCAGCCTGCCATTTGATATAAATAAATAAATAAATCTTTTCGGATTTCTGTTTGTTAACTCGAATGTATTTTCGAGTCAATAAAAAAATCAACTTAACTTTAGAATTTATTATATGTTTCAGCATAACACTTTGGTTTATAGAATCAGTGGTCTCAATAATCTGCAAAAATTTTGAAATTTAAGCAAATTCGCATACACATATATATATATACATATATATATATATATATATATATATATATATATATATATATATATATATATTGTCTATGTAGCGTGTCTTTTAATATGAGAAATACTGGGATATACATTATAGTTTTTATTAAACGTAAAAGAAAGAAAAGTTTCTTTGAATTCGAAGACGGTGCAGTAAATATAGCCATTTTGCAGAGCATTTCTCATAGTTACTTTAAATGGAGTTTACTAGAGAAACTGAGAAAGTACTTATTTAAAAATCGTAAGAAAATTTTCTATTTTAGCATACCATAAAAATAAAAAAAAGGTGGTTAATAAACTTGCATTTTTGCAAAATATCATAGTTAATGCCTTTCAATGAGCTGCAATACGTTTAAAATCGCTGGAAGTGTCGTCTACCGTCGTTCGTCACTAAAGAATTTATCGACTGCTCGGCTTAAACCACCCTCACCCCCCCCCCTTGAAGAAGTGGGAAATGAGTCTCAAAAAAGTATCAGAAAATCAAGAAAGTGCAAAAATTCATGATAAAATGGACAGAATTCAAAAATAAGAACAATACATCTCCAGACCTTGCTATCGCATCATCATTCGCTCCCTTTTTCACTTTCGTGGCATTTTAATCATGTTATCTGTTAGCTTTATTTAGAGGTTGTTTCATAATTAAAATGTGCCAATTTTTAATGAAGCCTTAGGCAGTGGTAGTAAAAATGTGTGAAAAATTGTCACTTTTAAGATTTATAAAATATAACCTACAGATTCATTATAAATGTCGAGATTCTTCAGAGGATTGAAGGCAATTAAGGCAAAATCGGCGACGTAAGTGTATGGCAAGCAATTGAGAAACCTCGCGTGGAGATTGTAGACAAGTGACACTTCATTTAAGTGAGGAAGTAGAATTAAATCCTCAATACCCTCCAACTCTTTAGGATTTGCCTGAAAGAACGAAAAAATTAGTTATTTCCGCCTGAAAGATTGCAATAATTAAGAAAAAAAATGATTTGAGTTAGAACTAGTGACGTTATTCTCCAAACACGGATAATGTGCGAAAAAAATATACGGAACAAATCTTGATATGAGAAAATGTAAAAGTTTTTAAACACATTATAAAGTGAACTTCAGACTAATTTTTATATAAACTTTCACCCTATATTTAATTATAATTTAATGATTATACTATTGAGAAATAAGGCATACAACAACAAATTGAAAAATGGTAATAAAAACGGTATGTGAAAAATATATTATTGAATAACCAAAAATATTTGAGCTTTATTAAAACAATTAAAATGTGAACGCTTACTCTATTGATATCATCCGAATTAACTGTAAGAATTTGCTCTCCAGGAACAAGTTTGACTTGATATTCGTCTTCAGGTAAAATCTCAACAAGGGCTCCATTGGAATATCCATCCCGATGAGTAATTAAGACAATATCACCAACTGACCACAAACCGTTAGAATGAGAGGCAATATCATGGAGTATATTAACATACATCTATAAGTAAGGTTAACGAGAGTAAGAAATTTTCTACAAAAGAAACCTTTTTTATTGAAACATTGATTCCTCTCAAACATCCTTTTTCTTTTATATAGCCTCTGAGACAAATACAACTTGAGTTAGAATTGTTAACAGTGGGAAAATTTTGTAAAGAATCAAGGTGGCAATCATTCAAATAAATTGAACGCGTTGAAAGTTCCAAACATCCTTCAGATGGAATCAGAATTAACTTTAGCTCATTTGGTCCACCCGATGCAAATTTTTCCTTAACATCCTCTGAAGAAAGCTGCTTTACATCAACGTCATTGATAGAAGCGATAACATCTCCTGGAAGGACGCCAAGCGAAAAATCAGAGGGACACTTTGTGAGTAGAGCATGCTAAAATAAGCATAAGATTAAAATATAGTAGCTAATTAAACTACATTAACATTAGCAGGGGGTCTTACATTGTTTTGTCTAGTTTCGATATATAATTGCTGATAATATTTCAAGTTAGCTTTATCTAAACAAACAGCATAAGGTGTTCGATAATGAATGGAAAAATCTGGACATGGCAAACGCAATCGAGGGGTTTGAACGCGAGAAGAAAGACAACCGGACTGAGATCTGTTACTTATGATAAATGGATTGCCTTCAAAATATCAGTTTCAATTAATAAATTTTACCAAATATTTGTTCATGTACACGTTTAATGGCTTCTTTGCTAATCTGAGTAGTCAATGTTGAGCTAGAATTACATTTATCGTCTGAAAAAGCCATTATTCGACAAATGAATCACATGTCCAAGAAGCTAAAAGTGAAAATGTGTTTGCGAATACAATCGTTGCACATCCTTATAATCTTTAGGTCACGTAAACTAACTTAGCTAAGTATAACAAAAATTACTAAAAGCTTATAAAAATTAAAGTGCACTTAAAATTTGAGTTTCCCATTCGAAAAAAATTAATATTAGATTAATTTTGAAATAAAAATTAAGTACAATATGTTTTCTTAAAGGTAATTTTAGAGTTTAAAATTTATAAATTTTATAAACTATTTATTAAATTATAATATATAATTTACTATTTACAGTTTGTTTAAACCCGTTTTGAAAGTGTGGGCTTTACAAACCAAGATTTATTCAGTCATTCGCTAAGATGGGAGGAGATGGTGGTAGTATTCCTCGTCGTGTCGAGCTTGTGCGCGAAAAGAAGCAAAGGGAGAAGGTGGGTAAGGTAGCTGCAGATGCTGCAAAGTGGAAGCACTGTGCACTCAGTCAGCAACCTCTTCGTCAACCAATTGTGTCCTGTCAGCTTGGACGGCTTTACAATAAGGAGGTAATCATCGAAAGATTTCTTGATCCCTCTAAATACACAAGCAGTGTAGCTGACCACATTAAGAAACTTAGGGATGTTCGGGACTTGAAACTAACACCTATTCCAAAAGACCAGACTAGTCATGAACTCTCTTCCGGTATAATTGAAGATTCGGCCGAGTCTTTCTGCTGTCCCATTTTGGGTCAAGAAATGAATGGCTCATATCCTTTTGTATTCTCTTGGGAGTGTGGTTGTGTCGTTTCAAAGCGAGCATTCGATAATGTCAAAGATTCTTCTTGTTTAAAATGTGGTCAACCTCTTCAGCCCGAAAGCGTTATTTTACTCAACCCAGAAACAGATGAGGATATTCAGATTGCCCAAAATCGTTTGAGGATTTATAAAGAAACAACTAAGAAGAGTAAAAAGAATCGGGCAAAACTCGAAGTGAAGACGGAGCCTGATACTGAATATGATATGGTAAGTTATTTTGATTTTCAATTGTCTTAATTTTTTGTTTTATTAAATTATACATTTTTTATAGAAAGCAGTAAAAGTTGGTGAAAAAAGATCTAATGGCGTTTCTTCAACTTCACTCGATCACAAACGAATCAAGATAGACGATCGTGATAATAAAAGCAAAAGGAAATATGATTCTAAGAACATGGAATTGGATAGCAAGAAGAAAATATCTGAATCTTCAAAGCATAGTTCGGTTCAGGATGATCCAAATGCTTCCAATGTTTTTAAATCACTCTTTACTACGAGTGAAGAAGCTAAGAATCAGCCCCAGTCCCATTGGGTTACTTTTAATCCTCTCTACTTTCACTAAATTTAAGCAATGGATTCTGTACAATGTTATCCTGCTTTTGTTCTCCACCCATCTTTTTTCACTTATCTTGTATACATAAGCATCGTTATTTTGTGTGTCGCGGATTTTATTCGACAATAAAACATTTGTGTATTATGACGCCTAACTTACTGTGTAATGAATTTTAAACTGAAGGGATAAAGTAGTTTCTGATTATCTGTGTTCAATTTTTTGTCAACTGGTGTAAATCTAAAAAGGCCCTCTGTTATGGAGCTGCTAAATCTATATGTTCAATTTTGAATGCTTTCTCTTATCTTTTAAAATATCGTCCTACTACTATTATTTAAGTAGTTTTGTCTTCGTACTTTTTATAACCAATTAATCTCATTCATTCCTTATGAATGGCCAAAATCACTACCATAATCGCCCTTTAAAAATTATATGAAGCTCAGGCCCTAAAAAATCTAATTTGTTGTTCTGGCTAAACTGTTTTGTGTTTTGATTTTTAAAGTTAATAATGAGAAGAGGCAATTGAATTAATTATGTTTATTTATTGTCTCTACGCCTTATATAGTTGCGCCATGAATCATAGCTAAAACGAATAAAAATATTATAGGTGAAAAGAGTTTAAAACATTCGTGAATTACGGTGTGATCTGCTTTCATATTTATCATAAGTAGTAAATACAAGCAGTATCGGAATAAAGGTAAAAGCAATTTATGGGGAAAATATTTGGAATTTTTATTCACCCAATCGCTCTACTTCGTTATTAACACAGTAAAATGGACTTTCAATTGTCTTTATTGAATAACTATCATCGGCTTCTATCTAGCCCACATATCGAAAATTAATTATTTCAGACCATGTGATCAAGATTTCATGGATCCGTGTTACTGACAATAAAACTTAAATACTTCAATATATCTGACTTGCGAGTATTAAACGACCGAGAAAATGTCATGCGGTTAAAATATTTACAATAATAAAGAGGCAGATTATTGTCTTACTCCTAATAATTGGAATAAATGTGAATACATTCAAGGAACTAACATCAAATTGAATTCGTTCGGAAGTTCCACGTGTGATATTTATGTTCCATTTAGCCCTGATGATCTCCGTTATTCAGTTTCAAATTTGGCTTAGTTCAAGCCAAGAAAGTCTCTGTAGAATACGATACCTACGCGTTTTAGGGTAGGCTTCTTTAAACGCGTAAGTTCGAATTCAGTTTGTCAAGTGAATGAATAATTAGTTTAATTTTCTTCCGCACTGTTTCTGTTGTCTAGACGGATAATGAGAGAGTGGGGGGAGTATATGAAATGACAACACAAATGTACTTCAACGACACCACCTTGTTAGCCAACAATATATCTAACGTTCTATGACTATTGAGGGTATGTTTATATCGAAGAATTTTTCAAGTGACATTTACTTTGGTCGTTATAATCTGTTCTTTTAAAAATGAATTTGTTGTTCAGACTAAAACTCTTTTACATTGCAGTATTAGTAGGAAATATGTTTTTTCAGATGTCAGGCTCTACGATAGTTATCATCAGCCCTTCACTTGACTTCGGGCTTCACAGAGAGGAGGAACATCGAAGTCACAAAAAGTGGAGGAAGAACAGAAGAGTGGAGCACAGGTGTAAAAGAGAGGCAGACACAGAGGTAGAAAAAGGTAAGGTGAGTATCGTGAAAGTGGCGGAATATGACATAGGGCGGGGTCATGGTAGTTTGAAGTTAGAAGTTAACAGCTGGTTTAAGGTCCGTCAGGTGGTAGTAAGTCTATCGCCCACCCCTTACTATGAAATATAGCTCTGCAGGTAACATGTATCTTCCTATTAGATACCACTAGGCCACAATTGACACATTCACCCAGAGAGAGTAAAATATAATACAATTAACTCAAGACACCCTATTCAGTAATTAGTAACTTTCTAGTGAAATACAAATTGTCTTTGTAGGTATGATGATCTATCTCGTCTGTTGTTAAAGAACACACTGTACAGATAAGACTATTTCAATCCGAAATGCCAAATCCTAAAAGATGGAAATATGAATGGGGAAGCAAAATGCTCATAAATGCTAAGAGCAGATGATCATTTACCCCCATACTTGTCCACATTGGTCTACAATGTTGCGGCGCCTACATCTAACATACTTTTGCCTCATTCCGTCATGTTGTCGGTATACAGAGATGAGAACACTGTCAGACTAATATCAGACTTTATCCCTGCTAACTGTCAATCTGTCTGGAGTGACGCACACCTTTGACCTATTAGGACTGACATTTAAACCTAGACACCCACGCACATAACATAAGCAAAGCAACTGTCTTGTTCTTATCCATTTAGCAAGAAATAACTATATCATAAAGAAACCACCCAGAGAACGTGAATGGATGTAATACATGTAAGCAAATTGGGAAAACCAGTTCGAGACTTTCTACTTCAAGAAATTGAAATGTCTAAAAAAACTATAAAGACTATAAAGCTGCCAGAAATCATTTTTTAACCCTATTTTTGAAGGCTATTGACCATTAAAAGCGAACTAAACTCCAATCAATCAGCACTTATTTGGCTGGTATAATTATAACTCATCGAATAGATCAAATCAACAGATTTCAGGCACCCTTTTATTTAAATATTTATTTATATCAAGTGGCAGGCGTTTTGATAGTCATCATTAGGCCTTTAGCTGACTTCGGGCTTCACAAAAGGGAGGAGCAATATCAAAGTGACAAAAAGTCGAAAGGGGCACAGAATAATGATTCACAGATGTAAAAGAGTTAGACAGGCACAAAGGCAGAGAAAAGGTAAGATGAGTACTGTGTAAGGGGTCGAATATGACATACAGCGGGGTCATGGTAGTTTGAAGTGAGAAGTCAATTGTCAGCAAATAGACTCTTTAGCCGTATGAGTATACATTGCTCAGGGTGCTCCACGTGGAGGTAAGTCTATCGCACACCCCGTCCAAATTCAAACTAGAGTTCATGTTAGACTTTCGAGGTGTCTACCAATATTTTTTGATGCTTCTCCTTTAACATCTTTATTGGAATTTCCCTTTCATTAATAAACTTCAAAGGAGATCAGAGCGAATATTTTGTTCTTTCATCTAAACATAATCGCCATGCTTCAGGGCACAAGCACTGGTTTATCGATTTTTGGCCTTTTATGCCAGTGCATGGGGTCAGGAATTTTGTCATTTCTATATATATACTTCCATATTAGTTAATAATTACGCAGTTATTTATCATTCATTTCAATCTATTGGCTAGCCAGAGTACCGTCTGTATAACATCTCCAGGCGTTAAAAGTCTATGGAATATGCAAACTTTTTAGCATGCCCTGACATTCGGAAACCATGGCTTTTAGAGCAAAAGAAGAAGAAGACCTGCCCAAATCTATCCCCTATCCACTTGAAACAGTTTCAAGAGACTTATGACCATGTGTTCTGTAAAGTAGGTCCAAGCGATTATGGAAATTTTAGTCCACTACATTTTTATTTGAATTTTAACATATTCTCAATGCATTTTCTTTTGTGTTAGTTTCATATTTAGCACCTGAAATTAGGAAGTCACTCCTTAATCGCCCTTTATGCATATATTAACGGTTTTAACATATTATTCAAGCATTTTCATAATAGGCTATTCTCCGAGTTCTAAATCACCTATTGTCATTTCTGTTAATTACCAATTAAAACAGTCCTTAAGGTGTTTTCGGATTGCATCGAATTGAGAACTGAATCGGTATAAGTCTTAAAAGTTCACTAGTTTTTGTCATTTATAAATCATAATGAATGATTTGCAGTGGATACAACACAAATAAGGTTTGACTTAGCCCTAAAGTTACTAACGAATTTAGTCAGGCTGTGTTCAAAGTATTGAGAACACCACCTATAAAGAGAAAAGTGTTCATTTAATACTTTGGGAAAACTATCGACATTCTTATTGATTAAGTGGCATACAGGCTACACTACTGAGCAAACTCAATTGCTGATTGGTTGAGAGGTTTCTGGACGCATCACTCCGATCTCTAGAATGTTTAAGGATATGCAAGACCCTCTTGGTCCAAACTTGGCATCATTGAATAGAAACGAGTAAGCAAAACCCACTATGACACTCTTAACTTGCTTCATGGATTTCACAAAAAACATAAAGTTACTTTCAATCATTCTAAGCCCAGCTTTAATTCAATCAAATGCGCGTAATCATTTTTTTGAAGATTGGAAGCATTAATTACGAAAATCTTCCAGTTTTTTTCAATGACGCAAATATACAAACGAGTTTTTTTGTAATTCGTTTGAGCACCTGAATTTCATTTTCACCGAATGTAGGCGTTATCGCGCTTTGCCTTGATCTCCTACCGTCTGAAAAATTTTTCTGCCCTCTCACCCGTGTAATTTTTTCCTATTACTGCAATACACACCGTAACACTATTCGTGCATTCCATTGCATGGGAACATTCCTACATTGTGTAATGTGGAGTGCATGATTGAATTATCTCCACATGGTGCACCCTGGGCAACGTATGCTCATTCGACGGAAAAGTCTACAAACTGGCAGTTGATTTCTGGCTTCAAACTACCATCATCCCACTGTATGCCATATTCGACCCCTTACACAGTACTCGTCTTACCTTTTCTCTGCCTTTGTACCTGTCTGCCTCTTTTTCATCTGTGAAGCACTCTTCTGTTCCCCTCTCGATTATTTGTGACATTGATGTTCCTCCCCTCTGTGAAGTTCGAAGTCAGCTAAAGGGTTAATGACAACTTTTATTATTATTTCAAATGACATACATTATGATATTTATCATTAGCCCCTTAGTTGACTTCGGCTTTCTCAAGGGGAGGGGGGGTGAAACATATATTTAAGCTTTAGGGCAGTTAACAGTAGTTTATTAGTTGTCCTCTGGGTTTCCGTCGTTATCTTTAGGGCTGGTCATCGAATCAGGTGGGTCTTCCCCGTTTCCTCCTGTAAGTCACATAGGGGACATGTTAGCTGAGTGTATACTCCTATTCCGTAAAGG